CACACACACACACACACACACACACACACACACACACACGCACGCACACATGGTGGTGTATCGGAGCCTCCAATGCAGAGTACTCCACTGCAGTGGGACAACTGGAGATCAGAAGATGGGTTAATGCTCTGATTATAGAGGATCAAAGGGCCTCAGCAGCTTGATTTTTGTTACTATTTTTAAAATAAAAATATATATTTTTTAAATAAATAAATGATTTTAAAGGAACGGCGTCTGGTGTAAAACACTAACAAATCTTCAGAGTGGCAACAACTGAAGAAAGGAGCAGCCAAAAGAAGAAAAATAAAAGTGAATAATTAATGATTTAAGTTTTTAAGGTTGGGATTATTTGAGTTTTAATCTATAAAAAATACAAGTATTGAACTTAAGCTTGTCTGTAACTGCAGAGAAACACTAACAAAACTTAAAAGATCAAATAAAAGCAGATCTGACTTTATTCATCTTCATTTCTTAAATTGACTTTAAAATAAAATCAGAATTCCTGTAGGAACTCAGACATATTTCATGCAGAAACATGATTTAAAGTTTAAACATGTCGCAGAAAAGTTGGAATTTACATGAGTTGTCAGTTTTTACTCAGCGACAGCTTAAGTTGAATAATTTTTGGAAAAGTTGCTCTCATTTTTTAACTATCCAAATCTTCCCACAGAGTGCAAAGAACACAACAAAACATCCAAAGCTTCGGAGCTCAGATATTTTTTCTTCAAAACTGGAAGTGAAGGTTATTTTTAACTTGACATAAATAAATAAAACATTGTAAAAATATAGAAATTAGCTAGTATAGCCAAAGACAACCAGTATTTGTCTGAGGCTTACTATTTAGTCGGCAAAATGTAAAACGGTGCTTTAAAACGTAGTTTCATCATATTTGGGATTTTATATGAAAAGTTGGTTCACAGAATGAAACCTTTTGTTAGTAAAACATCCTTTTATTCATGTTTAAACAGAACATGTAATATTTTCATAAAATGCTTACACTTTTTGTTTGCAGATTTACTTTTTATTGTAGAAAAAAAAACTCATAAAATAGCTTTTTTTAAAAGTTAATCATCACATTTGTGCAGCAGTAAAGGAAAGCTCCTTTGATAGAAACATGTTGTGATGTGTGTGTTTGAGTCCTGCCTGATGATGACACGGTGATGGTCGTCCTGTCACGTCAGCTGCTCGTGTTCTGCAGAGCAGCCGTGACGACGGCGACTCGTTGCGAAGAATCCATGTCTGCAGGATGAAATCTGACCTGAGAGCTGCAGATCTGTCTGCGTTTGTTGAGTCATGCTTGCGTCTGCTGATGCTGTGCCGAGTCATGCTGCTGAGTCTCTGTTGACCTGCTCACATTCATCAGAGTGTCTCTGTCAGCGAAGACTCAAAGTGTCAAACCAGACAACAGCTGCTCTCATCTGGTCTGAAACTGAGCCGAAGAAAGACATTTAATCTGTTGGTATTAAGAAGGAAGCTCCAAATAATCACATTCATCAACAAACAGATGAATGATTGTTACATAGCTGCTCTGGAAAAAATGTTAAATATAAATAAGTTCTCTGAAAGAAACTGGAGACAACAGTTTCACTTTCATTAAATGCTGAATGACTTTACAGAAATTAGCAGAAGACTGAGTAGAAAAACTAAAAAGAAGAAGAGCTAAAATAAGGAAAAGACTAGCTGAAAGCTAATAATATAGTAATAGCTAGTAATATCAGACAAAAAAATAGCAAGAGGACAATGTTTTCAAACTTATTAAAGAGATCATGGGGAAAATAAAGTGAACATTTCGATAAAGTATAAAAGTTCAAGGAACATTTGCTGAATGAGTTGAATGTTTTCATGTAAGGATTCTAAAATAAACAAGTAGGTCGCAAAATCATTTTTAAAATTTAGGATACATCAGTGAATGGTAATTAATAGGAGGTTCTTTTTTCCTCATGTTTGACAGTCAAAAACATCTAAGTTTAAATATAAAGTCGTAGTTTATTCTATCTTATTCCTTAAAGATTTTCTCAGATTATGTTAATCTGGAATGAACCTAGTTCAGTATTTTCAACATTAATTATAAAAAAAAAAAGTCTAAATTGTGGTCCTTCCTGGAGGTGCTGCAGTAACGTGTTTGAACCAGAAGGAGGCAGTGTTTCCTCATTGTGGAGATTAAACTGGCTGAAGCTGGAACAGCCAATCACAGAGCAGAGTCACAGTCACGTGACTTCTCTTTAACACAGTGTTATGTTTCATTACTCTGTAAACCTGAGCTGAACATCTGAAAATACTCAACATTTTAGGTTAAAAATCAGGTGAAAACTTATTAAAAACCACACATACAACAGGAAATGTGGATTTGAGCCAAATAAACTAAATACTTTTAAAATAAATTTATTTAAATATTGATTTTTATTGTTTAAATTTTAACTAAAAACTACTTTATAGACACAAAAACAGCAGAATCACTCGAAATTATAAGACATCACATCATTAAAGCTGTCAAAAAATGACTTCCTTTTTGGCTCATTTAAAAACAGTTGATTATTATAAATTAAACAGGAAAATCATTTCTCAACGGGCTGTTCAGGAGAGCAGTCTGAGCAGACTTATTTCCACAGCTAAGTGTGAAAATCTCCACATGGCTGTAAAATCTGAGGTGAGCTCTGACTTCTTCAGGTAACAGAAACACAACAAACAGGCATGTAAATTACTCATCTTTGATTCACAGGAAATTATCAAAAAGGTCGTTTTTTTTATGTTTTAAATAAAAATAATGTCTGTGTTTATCAACAAAGTCAAATCTCACAGAAGTTAAACCTGTGAAATGGTTGAGGAGCTTTATTCACTATTAAAAAATACAAAACCGGTTTAATGATTGAGCTGTGCAACACATGGTTATTTATGAAAACAGAAAATAGTCTTTGACTGACTGATCACAGCTGGAGGGTATTTAATATTTTTTATTTAAAAGCCGTCTGAGTTTGAACCAGTCTGCCGTCAGACAGGCGATGGAGGAAACCAATAACTCCTCTCTCTGTGGCTCCCTGCAGGTTTTCTCCAAACGCCTCGGCCTTTCCACTCACAGCCGGTCTCAGAGAGCAGGAGGGTCCGCTGATCACCGCAGCAGCCAGCAGTTGGAGGGGCAACGAGGGCGGCACCGGGGGGGCGGCGGAGTCACGGCGAGGTCAACATGACGTCGGTGGCGGCGGAGCTGGAGCACATGGAGATCCAGCAGCAACAGTACAACAACGACGGCGTCAACAACCGCTGGGATGCTGACGACTGGGACAACGAGAACAGCTCGGCTCGGCTGTTCGAGCGCTCGCGCATCAAAGCTCTCGCAGGTACGGGGCCGGGTGGGTGGAGGGGGCGTGGCCTAAGTGTGGCTCTGTGACAGATTTGCAGTGTTGTTCCTGTTGGTCACATGCAGACTCTCCGGCTGTGTGAGACTCATGTTAGGGTCGTTGCTGCTTATTTCCAGAGGTGATTGTGTCGTTTAAGCTCAGAGGATTAGATTAACTGGATTACTTCATCCAGCTAACAATGTGGTTCCAAGCTTGGGTTTAGATTCAGACACATCACTGCTGTCAGGTTGGGTGTTAGTCCTGTAAGAGTCGGAGTTCTTGGATTCGTTCTGAGGTCTCAGAGTTTAATTCACAGATACACACAGATCCTTTAAACACCAAGCTGACACAGGAAAAATGGAAATCAGGAATGTAGAAACAACCATAAACAAGAAAATCTGTCAGATTCTGGCTTCATTTTTGTGTGTTTTATCTTGTTTTGAATGGATGTGAACAGAGAGCAACTTAAATTATGATCCAACTCATGATTAATGAACCACGATGCTGATAATATCACAACATCATCATTGAATTCATAGCCTGCTAAGGAATCCAAAAATGATCAATCTACATATGAGTACAGAAATCCTTTATTCTTTTCTTTGGCTGGTTTATAACCAATCACTTGTGTTCAGCTCCTTCACACGGAGCCTCGAGTCCAGACACTGTTGGAAAACAGCTGATTACAAAGTCTCATCGTAATTAATCATTCAAATGTTAATTATCATATATTAAATCACATACAATACTGCATTGGGTTCAATATTGAATTGTGTTATTTAGCATCATGTTATTGGATTATATCATCAATCATGTTAATTATGTAGATACTCATAATCTCAGCATATATCTCATCTTATTGTATCTTACATGTGACTCCTCTCCTCCAACTGAGGAAGCATTGATTGAAAAGTTTGTAATAATTGACGAATAAATACCTTTGGATCCCTTAAAGGAAATGTCTTAAATTTAACCCAAAGTAATATTTTGAAGCACTTTTCTGAGCAGCACTAACAAAGATCAGAAGAGCTCAAAGTGTTCACACCAGCAAATCTGTTTTCATTAGCAGCTGGGTAATCCCAAGATTCAAATATGGTTTGAGGTTTCCTACAGTGACGTCCTCATTAGAACACACTAAAAATAGGATTCAGACCAATCTTTTTCCAAAGATGTTCCCAATTCAATCAAACTATGTTTCTGAAGCAGCTCAGATTGATCCTGTACCAGAATGTAGCTTAAAAAGACAGGAATCTGAGAAATGTTTAGTTTATTCAGAACAAACATGATTTAATCCCTGAAATGGTCTTATGATCACACATCATCTCCTTTTACTAGCTTTACATTTATTGTGTCATACCTCACTGTATCATATATGCTCATTGTATTAGTAGTGCCCCCATACCGAGTATACGTACAAGTACTTGTACTTATACTTACACAAAATGCCCTGAAACCCAGAACTGATACCAATACAGATATCTACAATCGGTATCAATACTCCATTGAATGTGTTACAGTTTACATTTCAAGTGAAAAGTTTCAGTTCCATTTTTAAGAAAGTTATGTTATGTTGTGTAATACCAACTTTTATTTAACTTTATGTCTTGTTATGATGTCATTCCCCCGTCATAAACATACCCAGAGGATTGCTTTACTGAAACAAGACCAATTTCAAGGCATTTAGATGTCAAGTCTGATTTATTTCTGCTAAATACAGTTTTTATAACAATTGAAGGTAACATAATTACTTGATTGTGGTATTGAGTTATGTGCCTGGAAAATACATAACACCGCCCTTTTAAAATCAGTGTAACGTTTAGGTTCTAACTCAGTAAGTACTTTTCAAAAATGGAAACTTGGACTTTCAAAACTTTTATTAGATTAAAATAAAATGTAATAAAAGTTTTGAGTTTTAATAACCAAAACTATTGACCTAACTAAGCTTTTAAACATTATGACAAAATCGCAAATGCACATTTTTAGGTTTTTATCATAAGTGCAGTTTGATTTATTTTTTTAACTATAATAACTGTAAATAACTAACTGTTATTTTGGACTGAAAGTCATTAATAATCCATTACCTAATGAACAATCTTTGCATTATATAAATTAAAACACTCATCTCACTTAAAAAACTACCACCCTGTTAGTGTCAGCATTAATCTTGAACAAAGCTTCTCTTCATAAATAATGTGCTGCATGAGATCATCACCGTAACTAATGAGGTGAAACTATTTTCTCTTCAGCAAACTGTAGCTGCTGATGTGATCACGAGTTGGTGCTGATTGTTGCTCACATGCTTCAGAGATGTTTGTGTGTTGCACACATTTCACTCCCTTGTCCTGCTGAATTTTTTTTATACGATGGCCAACTCCATCAGTCGAGTCCCACTTCACTAAATAATTCACCGCAGTGTTAAATATGCACAAAGAGGCTCCTGGTTTGCTTTTAAATGTCTGTGGGCGGAGCCCGCATTTCCTGCAGGCGGCAGAGGAACAGGAGCCATGTTGGCAAACAAAGTCAACACAAAACACTGAATCAAAAAATTTGATGAAATTAGACTTTTTTCTGTTTCAAACTGTTGTAAAACTTGTAAAAGTGGAAAAAATTCTAGTAAAAGTTCAAAGATGAGGAAAACGGCTGAACAAGTAGAGTTTTATTTCTTGTTTCACAAAGGTGAAACCTGTTTTTACAGCACCTATTTGTGGATGAGTGCCAAAGCAGATAAATTGTAAACTGCTTGTTATAAACTGATTTGAACCGATACCTGTTTGATTTTAGATCTGTCTTATTTTCAGATAAATGAAGGTGAAACTGAGAATTTTCTCCAACTTGTGGCGAAGCTAACATCAGATTTAGTTGGTGTGAGTGGGTTCTGATGTTACCTTTGGTTCTTTGGTGAAATCTAATAAACCAAATGAAAGTTGTTTTCTGAAAGACATGGTGTATCATGTTTTAAGAACACTGAGATCATTTTAACCAATTTAATCACCTCAGATGCTCTGTTATTGTGACAGACCGTTCCTGGATGGCAGCCAGAGACCATATTATAGAGTTGCAGGACAGATAATATAAACGCTCATATGATATAATTGATATAGTGGTAATCAAACTCAAAGTTCTTATCGACCGTCTAGAATCAGTCAGGAGTGGTTTAGAGCACATTGATCATGGAAACCCTTTAAGAACTGGTTTGTCTTTCTTTCACAGAGCCGGGTCTTTGGTTTGATCAAGTCTTTTTGTATCCAAGAACGTTAGTGGCATCGTTATCCTGGACAGCCATTACAGAGACTGTGTAGACAGAGGCAGAACGTCAGATGAGATGTTTGTAAAAGTTTTAGGACAATATCTCACTGGGTTATGACTGGTGATGACAAACAGTAGTTGAGACTAGGTGTTAGTGCTGGGTGGTATGACCCAAATTTAATATCATGGTATTTTCAACATTTACACTGGTTTCATGGTATATCACGGTATTTTGCTTTTCATCACAGGTCAGCTAATAATAAAATGCACAAACACTGCTTATTGACTTTTTTTCTTTTACTGTACCTCTGTCTGTGTCTCTGTTTCCCTCCTCTTGTACATCTTTTCTTCTTTGCCTGGTTGTAGACAGTTATCGTGCATGTTGGCCCGGTTGTGAAGGGTTGAGAAAAGATCAGCATCGGATCTATCGTGTGTTAATAAACTTAAAAGGACGACTCACCTTGCACACCAGTCAACTCAGCTCTACTACAAAACTACTTCCCTGGCTTTTTCACAATAGAACCACGCTAAAGTCTCCTTGCATCTCCATATTAACGTTGTACATTAAATCTAACCGTGCACGTCACTGAAGAGGCGTTGGCAAAAACGGGATGTTTCTTTTTTTTTAGGTCAGTCAATATAAGCAGCGGAATCGCCACCCGCCACTAACAAGCTGCTTCAACAATAATATTAGCATACTAATGCGTATAGCGGTGCCACGAGGAAAAGTGTCCCCCAGGAAACAGTTCACTGGCAGCTGCGACGAAAGGTGCTGAACGTGTTCAGGCTATTTAAATCGGTATGTCGGTATTCAGTTAGTTCATATCATAACAGGAATTAAAATTGTATTCATTATGAACCGGTATACCACCCAGTGCTATTAGGTGTAAATCGGCCGCCCGAAATATCGGCACTGATATCCTTAATTTTCAGAGATTGGCTGATACTTAGATAAGATCGTTGGATAAGATCAGGTTCTCATCTACCTCCATAAAGATATGAAAAACACTGTCCCCTTCTGCTCTGCTGTTACTCTACCTAATGTCCAGTTAAAACAAGTTTGCATTGTTTCAAGGGTATTGTTCTGTGTCTTTTAATAAAATAAGAGAGACATTAAAGGTGCATTGTGACCTTATAACACCTGATTTTATTTTAAAAAATCAGTATCGACCAAAATCTGAATCGACAGGTCAGACTTTTTAAGGATCGGTGATGGCCAGAAAACTGCAATCAGTTCACCCCTAACTTATTTTCTTTGGTAAGTTGCCAGCCCTTACTCTCAATGTAGAAACTTTTGTCAACTTCTGTAATTCTAGAGCTCTAGACCAGTTTGCATTAGGATTGGGCAATATTGGCAAAAACTTAAATCACTATAAATTGAAGCATTTAGCCAATAACAATTAATTTGGCAATAGATGAAAGTTGCACTAGCATGTCTTTGACTCTATATCAGTTATCCTGTGTTCTTAAATTAAATCAGTCAAACCAACTTCTTCATTTTAGCAGGTGAAATTAGTGAGCTGTGAATTGAAACCCACTTCTTTAATGTGGAGTGGCAGCACCTTTAGTAATGCAATATACCACAAGCTTATGTGTGCTTGATAGTAAGCGTGCATCACACACAAACACATGGCACTATAATCACAGTAACAATGTGGCAGACATTAACTGGCGACAGTTTTTTGGACAATTACCGTAATTGCACAAGATACGATTTTGCCCAATCCTGGTTGGCATGGAGTGAGTCAATGTTG